AAGAATCGCGCCGGTTAGCGGACGCTAGATTTCCATCAACCGTGGCCGTAGGCATTGCCTTTTAAAATTTTAAATAACGATCGTTTCATGTTGGTCAAAATATCAAATAACTCTTCTTCATTCATCTCTTATTGCTAAATATTAGTGGGGGGGGGGGGCTGTTATTACACTCCAAGTGCCAAGCAGTGATGTAACTGCTTAATATAGCACAATATGTTTTGAATGATCAAGAAAACCACTGTATGTATTATATATCTGAACAGAACATAATTTACCTACGCTACAATATTCGAAGACTCACCATGTATAATTAATCTCAGCAATAATGGATACTAATCCGAACGGCCGGCCTGGTAACATTGTAATGTATCTCTTGAGATTATGACATATATTAATGATATTGAAATACGATATTTTGGGGAAATATGTTATGATCGGCCTATGCTGCTCAGAAGTAGAACCTAAATAGTCGAACAAGCATATTAAACCAATTTCAACATTCAACAACCATGCTACTTCATAAATCAATGATTGGAAATTGAAATATCAAAATTGGACAGTGATCTTGACTTACCCTTGTCATACGTTGTATGACCCGCCGCGCACGAAGTGCGCGGCTCCCCCTGTATCGTCAGGACGATAGTGAAACGACCGTGGGGGTCGCAACGTGATACAACCTTACCCTTATTATAAGGGCCTTATAAAATATATATTATATATATGTACAATGTACATATATTAATGATTAAATCAGTTTCTGTATAAAAGCGTTTAAACCGGCGTTGAAAGTTTTGAAGTTCATGTAAAACAGGACATGTAAAAGAGGACATTAGTTTCTAGTAACTGAATTAACTTACACAAACTCAAACAAGTCAGTCGAGTTTCTGTATTTGCCTAATAAGCTGGTAATCGTACCGTTCCCAATGTAATCGAAATGATAAAATTCCTGACCTTCAATTTGCTGAGTAATAGATCAAATGGAATTAATGAATTAAATGGTTTCAGCCCATGATTGCTTAATTACTACAAAACATAACAGGTTCTTAGTTCTAAAACGACAACTGTTCCATGTTCTATCAAAATTGAGAAGAAACGTAACTAAAGCTCAAAAGATAGATTCTTGAAATTACTGATACCTCTTCCTAACAACCAAGTTGCAGTTTTATGTTTTAGACCTACAAGTTACAACCAAGGACTAGGATAGTACAAAATTAAGGCCACGGTACTTTTAAGTTTCAATTGTTTAATATTTGCTGAGAGTACGACTTAGACTCTTAGTAAAACGGGACTAAGACACCGATAATAGTTAAATACCGATTAAACGATTGGTATTGGTCAATATTTGGTTGTGATATTGTGATTATTGAAGTTAACACTCTTCCTTGGGGAAGAATAACATTTAAAAAAATACGTACTAGTGTACTGCTAAGAAAATCAGCTGGTTCATAAGATTAATGAAGAAAATTAGCATACACGATTTAAAATAGAAGTAGCAACGTAATCGAAAGACAAACTGAACAAATGATAATTTCGCCTTGAAACGAGCTACATATTGAGTATAACGTAGCGCTTGACTCCAAATGGAATTCAAATAATAATGCGCTTCGGTAGTTTCAACTCCCAGCAGCTGGGAGTTGGACCATTGGAATTCCCGTTACTGTCGCTGTGAGAAGCCTCATTGAGTGCGCGGCGCGGCACAGTAACGCATCGCGCTACAAGGCCTTTTTACAAGAATTTTGTTAAAATTTGGGCGAGCGATTTATATATTAGTAGGAGCGCCGCAGGGATTTATTTAGTAATATAACGCGAAACAGGCAATACTCGAAAAATATTTACTGGGCGGCGCTCAGTTTGTAGCGCGATGCGTTACTGTGCCGCGCCGCGCACTCAATGAGGCTTCTGTGCCTCGCCGATCAGCTGCGATGAATTGACATCGTCAATTAAGCGCTGATCAGCCTGTTCACTGTTATTCCGCCGCATCTTAAATATAAAAGCGTAGAAGTTGAGGGTTTCTTAGCTATAGGTGATAAAATATTAGTTTCAAATATAGATTGTCAACAATTTTGTAGGTTTAAAAAACCTTTTAGGACGTGCGCCGAGTTGGACTCGTCGACGGTCCTGAAACAAATATTTTAAGAGTATCACCCGTTAACAACGAATCCAACTTGCGTTTTATGGCATATTAGGTTATATATATATATATATATATATTTATGATATAAGCTTACAAATAATTTATAAGTTCAAATTGGTTTTTGGTTCTGAACAAAATTTCGGGAAATTATTTGAAAATTAATTGAGGCACCAAGTATAAAACAAATTAGAAATATATCACGATATAGCACATACTATTTTTTCTAAATATAAAAATTATTCAAACAATATACACATAATATAGCAATGACCCTATATAAAATCAACCCTTAAAGAATCCCTTAATCCCTTAACGATCATTAATTACCCTTGGCCTTATGGCTCCAAGTTAAGATCTAGACTGTTTATATCAACAATGTTTTTTCTCGCACCTCTGTCTCCACCTCTCTCCGACGGAGAGAAACCGCTGTTGTTCTAAGGATTTCAAAGCGAAGGCGTTTTCTAATGTATCCTACAGCGTCTGAGTACCTCTGGCCAGTGTGGTACTCCATCTTACTGGCCAGCTTCTTGACCAGTCTCTCAGCTTCACCACCCATTCCACCAGAAGTCGAGAACACTAAAGGTGTGAAGCTTCCTTTCTCCACTTCAAGAACCCTTGCATTGTAACATCGCTTTTTATCATTTTCATGGGACAGGTACATTGCTGGGATCGATTTGCTTGCATTGGAGGGGGCTGGGGCATGAAATACCCTTACATCAAAATATGCCCTCTCTGAAGCATTCCAAATCGATCTTGCAGAAATGTCCAGCCTGGCTTGATCTCCTAGGACTGTTCCCTTTAAATAATAATAATAAATACAACATTTATAAACCGCCTTATAGCTAAATCATATAACTCGATATAATTTAATCCTGGAGATAAACTCCAGTGCTTTCTAAAGCGGCTCTTACATTAACTGAGCTTAGTTTAATTGAAAATTAGACATGACAAGTTCATGTAAGTTCATGGTAACTCTAGACCATCAACTGGAAGAAGAACTGGCTCAGTCTTTAATACTTTCAACACTACTATATAACAAATAATTTGAGTTCAGGGATGGAAGAAAAGAATGTACCCGAGAGGGCGCCGACGCTAAAGAAGAAAAGATAAGCCCCTCAAAAGCTAAATCAACAGCTGAGGATGTTTCTGCGCCTGCTGCAGAAGAAAAATACTGCCCATGTGAAATCTTTATGGCTGATGAGTTATCTGTGGAATGTGAAGCCTGTAAGTTGTTCTGGCATTCAAGTTGTGTTGGCCTGTCTGGGTTGACAGATGATATGTTAGGACATCTGACTAACTGGAAGTGTCCCATTTGCTTTGTGGCACCCCACACAGTTAAGGACACTGATGACCAGAGAGCTGTCAGGGCTATTGTCAAAGAAGAGCTCCAGAAGTTCACACCAGCTTTGGCGAACTCCTTAAAAACAGTTCTAAACAACAGCACGGACAAAAGTGTGAAAAAAGCTGTTAGTCTCTATTCAGATATTACAGCTAAGTCTCAACAAACTGTTCTGAAAAACCTAAGAAGTTCAGAAACAACCAAAGAAGTTGTCCAGCAGGTACAACGTAACATTGATGCAGATAGGGTGGAGAGAGAAAGAAAGAAGAAAAATGTCTGCATCCTGAAGGTACCGGAAAGCACCAATAACAGTGTCAAAGATCGTGAAAAAGAAGACATCGACTTTTGCATCAACTCACTTGAGATGGAAAAGGGAGACATTGTGTCCTGCTTTAGAGCTGGCAGAGTCAATAAAGACATACCAGAGTACTGCAGGCCCCTTATTGTCAAACTCTATGACGTAGAAGACGTAAAGTACTACACGAATGGAGGGAGAGGAATCCGGTCAAAGAGTGGTCATTGGATAAACGAAGATTTGTGCAGAGCTGACCGTAAGGCAAATTTTCAAGCACGGGAGGAAGCAGAGAAGAGGAAAAAGCAGAAGAACGCAGAGAAGAGTCAGAAGATCGAAGAGAAGGAAGCTACAGTTGCAAAGGAATAAGCATATTGTATACTAATGCTAGTGGATTCTTTAACAAAATAGATGAAGTAAAATGTTTATTGATGCTAAACAAGAACATTGATATTATATGTGTCACAGAGACACATTTTGATAATGATATTTTAGATGCTGAAGTTCAAATTGACGGTTACACAATTTTTAGAAAAGACCGTGACTTTAAAATTGAATCTTCCAAAAAGGATATTAGTTCTGGAGGAGGGTCCATCATTTATGTTAAGAATTATATTAATTCATCATTAGTAAAAGAAAGTTGTAATGCACTTGATTCTTTAGCTGTGTTAATAGATACTGCAAGTGGTAAACTTTGTATTGGATGTATTTATAGATCACCATCTTTAAATTCTGACCAAAATTTAAAATTAATTTCTTTTCTTAAAAATATTTGTAATGTTAATAATGATTTTGAAACACTCCTGGTAGGAGACTTTAATTTACCAGATGTCTCTTGGGAGACTGGTTGTGTAAATGGAGGTTTGGTCAGCACTAATAAGTCATTCTTGAATCAAGAAATCTATATTGATATGTTTAACGAAGCAGGGTTGTCCTGGTATTTTACTACTGAAATAACTAGGCGACGGGTTGTAAAGGATAGACTCCAAGAGAGTCTGCTGGATCAAGTACTTTCCACCAATGATGCGCTTATTAATAAATGCACAGTGCTGTCCCCGATTGGCAAAAGTGATCATGTCAGTGTGGTAGTCGATTTAAGTGTTTCTGTAGATTCAATTAAATGTAAAGAGAAGATTCTGAAACCATCATGGGGTAAAATAACTAATGATGATATTTTAAAGTTTAGTATTGAAAATATTAACTGGGATTTTAGTTGCTCTAATGATGTTCAGCTTATGTGGGATGAGTTACATGGCAAACTTACGACTGTTGCTGGAATAGTACCGACTAATTCGGTCTATAAAAACAACAGACCTGTGAAGCTGCCATGGGACACATCCTCATTGAAGCGCATGAGAAAGAACAAAGATAAAGCATGGACTGCATTTGATATTGAACCTTCTAGTGTTAATCTTAGTCATGCAAGTAGTAAACAGCTCATCTATGAGAATGAGGAAGTGAAAGCAAAGATAAGATATGAGAAGAAGATAACTTCCAATTTAAAGATCAATTGTAAATCATTTTATTCTTATTTGAGAAATAAGAGAAAGGTTAAAGCTTCGGTACCAAGTTTAGATAAGGAAGACGGTACAAGGACAACTAGTGCAGGGGAGTCTGCAGAGGTACTTGCAAGTGCCTTTAGTTCTGTGTTTGTTAATGAGCCACTCGGCCCATTACCTAGAAGTTATAGTAAGAATACTAATAGTATATCTGATATTGTTATTACCTTTGATAATGTTAAAAAGGAACTATTAAAGCTTAATATTTTTAAAAGCACTGGCCCAGATGGGCATCATCCAAAGCTGCTTAAGTCCCTAGCTGGAGATGCTAGTTTTGTAACAGCTCTTACTAAATTATTTAGTGCCTGTAGTGATACTGGAAATCTTCCGGAGGTATGGAAGTCGGCATCTGTAGTTGCACTTTTTAAAAAGGGCTCTAAGTCTGACCCTCTTAACTATAGACCAGTTTCTCTTACTTGTATTCTTTGTAAAGTTTATGAACAGTTTGTTAGATCCCATGTGTTAGAATTTTTAGAAGACCGTATTTCAAAGGACCAACATGGGTTTGTTAAAGGAAAATCTTGTTTGTCAAATCTTTTGGAGACTTTCGACACTATACTTAATTTAATAGATGAAGGTGCTCCTGTGGACTTATTTTATTTTGATTTTAGTAAAGCTTTCGATTCTGTTCCCCATTATCGCTTGATTAACAAGCTAGAGAGTCTAGGGATAACTGGTAAAGTTTTAGATGTAATTACAGATTTTATCTCAAATAGAACTATGAGAGTGTGTGTAGAAGGTGAAACTTCAGAGTGGAAGATTGTATGGTCAGGAGTTCCCCAGGGATCAGTCCTTGGACCATTACTATTTGTGTTATTTATTAATGATTTACCAGATAACATTAAAAGTAAAGTTAAAATATTTGCTGATGATCTTAAGCTTATAGCTAATGCCTCCGAGCATGAAACTATAGCTAATGATCTGAACGAACTAGAGATGTGGGAGAGTAAATGGCTTTTAAAGTTTAATCCTACTAAGTGTTCAGTAATGCATTTAGATGTTAACGATAACCCAAGATCAAGTTATTCTCTTAATGGAGTTACATTGGCAGAATCTGTACAGGAAAAAGACTTGGGAGTTATAACCCATAACTCTCTGCTTTGGAATTGTTATATATTCTAGTAATTTATTGTATGATTAACCGATATACTATTCAGGATGACTACCTGGGTTTTGGTTTTGGTTTAGCTTTTAGCTTTTAGTCTTGCGTTTACCTTGTCACAACGATTCATAACAATGGCGACGAGTCTGGTTTCGAACTTACGCTTATCCAAGGAAACTGATTGTGTCAGAGAGTGGCTGGAAATCTTTGAAAACGCCGCTTCTGTGTTCATTTTCGCACACGCAGATAAGTTACCAGATGACGCAAACGAGAAAACTGCTAAAAAAGCAGAACTCATGAGAACACTGTTAACAGTCAATCTGGGGCCTGACGCGTTGAAGAAGTTGCGTGCATTTACATTTCCAGCTGAAATTAAAGACACTGACTACGCTACCCTGAGAAAAACTCTTGTTGATCGGTTATCACCCAAAACAAACATTGTAGCTCAACAGCAGAAGTTTATGACGTTGAATCAGATTGCTGGTGAATCCTTATGTACTTTTATGTCACGATTGAAGGAAGCTGCTAATGTTTGTCAGTTCGGTGATTTGTTTGATTTAATGGTGCGTACACGTTTTGTGGCTGGACTATCCTCTGATAGGATACGTGCTGAACTCATATCAGAATCTGCTACCAACGACACGTCTGCCAGCCTGTTTGATAAAGCTCAGACGAAGGAGAACGCTCTGCAAAGTTCAATGTCAGTCACAACACACTATGTTCAAAAACCCGGGAAGTTTCAAAAACCTCAAAACTCTAAGTTCCAGCAGAAGGCCGACCTTAGCATTGTTTGTTCACGTTGTACTGTTCGTGGTCACGTTGCGAAAAACTGCAAAGTTCGTTGCAGAAACTGTCGCAAACCCGGACATATCGCGAAGAACTGTCGTTCAGCTAAGAAGCAATCCCATTGTGTTGAAGGGATTGGTGATCATGATGATGGCAACGCTTGCGCTGCTGATTATGGGTACACACATCAAGAGTCGGAGAAAACGTTGTACTGCGTGGAGACGGCTGATCCTGTCCAGATTCCAGTACAGATTCCTGTTCCCGATGGTACTCTTCCTGCATCAGTTGTTAGTAATTTATCCAGTTGTATTGATTGTAATCAGAAACCATTTCTTAAAGTTAAGATTAATGATAAGATTTTGAAAATGGAGTTAGATACTGGTTCATCTTTAAGCTGTATAAGTAAGTCTGATTTTGCTAGACTAGGACTAACTGATTGCCAGATTGTTCCATGTTCCCAGAAATTGCGAGTAGCTAATTTTAATTGTGAAAGCATTGACTGCAAGGCCCTTGTAAACGTTGAATTTAGAGGCAAGAAATGGATTTTACCACTATATGTTGTCGATTGTCGGTTTCCCACACTCCTAGGTCGAGAGTGGATCATCCAGATGTTTGGTAAAGACTGGTTGGATCATGTGATAGGACTTGTTGATGTTGAGCAATCTTACGCTGTCTCCAAGCTTCAGAGAGATGAATTTGTTAGTGAGATACTCCGCAGTCCTGTGTTCGATCCTGGTGTTGGAACTGTTAAAGGATTCGAAGCTTGTCTACAATTTAAGCCTGATGCGAGAGCAAAGTTTTGCAAGGCAAGGCAGGTCCCATTTGCCATCGTAGACAAGGTTGGGAAAGCCATAGACGAGTTAGTGAAGAATGGACAGCTGATTCCAACAGAGCACTCAGACTGGGCTTCACCCATAGTTCCTGTCATGAAAGCGGATGGTACGATTCGCATATATGTGGTGACTACAAGACTACCGTAAATCCTAATCTTGACACAGCTATTTACCCACTTCCTACGATAGAAGATTGCTTGAGTAAGATTGTCGGAGGTAAACTGTTTACTAAGCTGGATATCAGAGCCGCTTATAATAGTTTGAAGTTGAGAGAATGTGACCAAAAGATTGTGACTTTGAACACACACAAAGGATTGTTCAGTCCTACTTCTCTACCATTCGGTATTTCATCTGCCGGACCGATATTTGAACGCAAGATTGATGATACCTTGAGAAAGACAGAGAACACAGCATGGCGTGTTGACGACATTCTAATAACTAGACCTGATGATGAGAGTCACATGAAGAACGTGAGAACGGTGATTACAGCACTAGAGAATGAAGGCTACAAATGCCGGCTAGACAAGTGTGTTTTCATGGAGCCTAAGGTGACATTTCTTGGCCATGAAGTATCTGCTGACGGGATAAGACCGCTGAGTTCGAAAGTTGAAACCATAGTGAGAGCACCGTATCCTACTACTAGAGCGGAGATGATATCATTTCTTGGTGGTGCACAGTACTATTCGCGTTTTATTCCCAACATGTCAACAGTTGTTGAACCACTTAACCGTTTAAGACCCGCTGACAGTATTTTCCACTTCGGAGATAGAGAAAAGAGAGCTTTTGATGAGTTAAAAGCACTGTTATCGTCTGACTTGGTTCTAACAGTCTACAACCCTGAGCTGGAGTTAAAGCTTGACACGGACGCTTCATCCGTTGGTTTAGGAGCTGTTATGTCACATATTGATGAAAATGGGACAGAGCGACCGATCGAGTATATATCTCGAACGAAATCTGAGAGAAACTATTCCATGATAGAAAAAGAAGCATTGGCAATAGTTTGGGCGACTAAGAGACTGCACCGTTATCTTTTTGGACGACCGTTTACCCTAGTTACAGACCACAAGCCGCTGGAATCTATCTTTCACCCTAGTCGTGGAATTCCTAGCATGGTGGCAGGTCGTTTACAACGATGGTCATTGTTCCTTAGCGGTTACACTTACAAGATCCAGTTTCGACCCACTGGTAAACATTGTAATGCTGATCTATGTTCCCGTTTTCCACTGCCTTTAGACACATCGGCAGAGACGAGAGAGTTTGATGACGAGTTAACAGAGGAGTTTGAAATGAAACCTCTAGATACTGTTTTCAGCGTGCACTACTTCGGTGATGACAAACCTTTGATTGACGTTGAGTTAATAGCTAGTCACACGAGAAGAGACAAGACACTTGGTCGAGTGTTACAGTTTGTTAAAGACGGCTGGAACGAGAAACCCCCTGTTGATGTCGAGCTGAAACCGTTTTACACACGTCGAAACGAGTTGTCAGTAGACCAAAACTGTATTGTCTGGGGATCTCGAGTTGTTATTCCAGAGAGTATGAGAAAGAGCGTGCTTTCAATGCTTCATGCAACACACATGGGCATTTCACAGACCAAAGCACTAGCGAGAGGCTATGTTTATTGGCCAAACATGGATGCTGAGATCGAGAAAATGGTTAAACTATGTGAACCATGTCAACTAAACCAGAAGAAACCCGCTAGATCTACACCACACCCATGGGCTAAAACTATGGAGGCTTGGGAGCGGATTCATCTAGATTTCTGTGGACCCTTTCTTGGATCTATGTGGCTGATAGTTATCTGTTCGTATTCAAAATGGTTAGAAGTTGTTAGAATGACGAACATTACAAGTAAGAGAGTGATTCAAGAGTTACGAGACATCTTCAGCCGTTGGGGACTACCCAAGATACTAGTATCAGACAATGGATCGAGTTTAACTTCAGAAGAGTTTAAAGTATTCACGAATAATAACCAGATTCGACACGTGCTTATTCCTGCTTACTCACCTGCAAGTAATGGACAAGCAGAAGTTGCAGTCGGACTGTTTAAAAGAGCTATGAAACGGATGATCTTGAAAAACCCTGACGTTATGTGTAACCTGGCTGATTGGCTGCTTAACTACCGCAACACACCACACACCACTACCGGAGTAGAGCCTGCAGTTGCGATGATGAAACGACGGACGACGGACGAGAAACGCCTTGAGTTTTCTAAACCCGAGTTCGAGTAGTAAGTTTGCCAAAGTTGCTTTAAACGATCAGAACACGATTGCTGAATCGAGACTTCGTGATCTGAAGATTGATGACACTATATCGTTCTATGATGAGAACAAGAAGTGCTGGAGAAACGGTGTTATCGAGGGTAAGGAAGGTACCAAAGTGCTACTGATCAAGACACCTGATGGAGTCTACCGCAAGCATTTGGACCAGGTAATCAAGAGATCTGTTGTGTCAGAACCGTTGCAACAAACAGATCCGGATACACCACGAGTTGAGCTGGAGATAAGAGATGAGCAGAGCTCTACAGCTATTGAGGGTGATTTCAAGAAGACAGCTAGCTTACCTGAGAGTACAGAGCCGGAAACTTCGATTATAGTTGGTAATAATCCAAATCTACCCGCTGAGCCTGACCATAAGGCAGCCGTTGAACCTATAATCACTGCACAACCTGTACTTAAACCACGTGAGCTTGCCATAGAAATTAACCGTAGCACTATGAAACCTAACATTGTTAGAGAGCATGAATTGCAACAACCTAATTTGCTTCTGCCAGCAAACTTTGCACGTGATAGTAAACCACCAGACAGGCTAAGTTACCGCAAACTGGGAGGAACATAAAACACGTTTCATTATCACATTTTATGACAGTTGTTTTATTTTGAATGTGTAAATCTAACCACACATTAATCCAGTTAAATTATCCAGATCAAACGTAAAGTTATTAAAGATTCCCTGTCACGTTTAAGTTTTGAAGAATAACAAGTTATTTTTTGTTTTAAACGGAATGCGCTAAGTTTTAAATCGTGTAGCGAGCGCAACACGTTTCAACATTTTCACGTGAGTTCACTTAACAATTTTGTAGATTTCATTTTGACCACGTTTTCAAACATTTTAAATTTTGTACGATTGATTTATATCACATTTTTTTACGAATTCAGTTAAATTATTAAATCTATATTGTTTTTAACACTTTTTAGTTGAACGGGATGTTATATATTCTAGTAATTTATTGTATGATTAACCGATATACTATTCAGGATGACTACCTGGGTTTTGGTTTTGGTTTAGCTTTTAGCTTTTAGTCTTGCGTTTACCTTGTCACAACGATTCATAACAGGAATGAACAGATTAAGGCTTCAATATCTAAAGCCAACAGAATGATATGTTGGATTGTTAGAAATCTGATTATCAGGGAAAAATCTGTGATGATATCCATTTACAAAGCTTTAATAAGACCCCATTTAGAGTATTGTGTTCAATTGTGGAGTCCAGTTGCGGCTCATGGAAGTTGGGGGATCATCTTGGAGCTGGAGAGCGTCCAGAGGCGGTTTACCCGTCTGATTGACGAGGTGGGTAGTCTTCCATACAGTCGTCGACTGGAAATCCTCAATTTAACAACGCTGGCAGAGCGGCGAATACGTGGGGACCTCATTGAATCTTTTAAAATGATAAGTGGTTTGGCCAATTACGGAGCTGGTTTGTTCAGTATGAGCAGATCTGGTTTTAATGTGGTATCAAACAGTAGATGCAGTAAAAGTAGCAGTAAAATGAAGAAAGTCCACAGTTCTTTTCTTCGGAGAGGGTGAGACCTTATTGGAACAAACTCCCCTCGGATGTCAAGAATTGTGGGACTGTGTTAAGTTTTAAAATAAGATTAGAAGCTTTCAAAAAAGAGACTATTTTAAACGGATCCGTAAATGATATTCATTTTTGGTATGTTTCGGACGAAGTATTAGGAAAGATTGAGGGATTAAATTATGCTACTAATAAAGAGAAGCACAATGAATATCTTGTGTGTAATCCTCATGTTGCTAAGAAACGCTTTATTAACTAAAATAGTAGTGGAAAGTATGTAAATTAGATTCATTTTATCTTGGTTGTTTAGGCCAATAGATTTAAGATATTTTTAAAACTTTGGTAGATATATTTTTGATGATGTGTGATGATGTTTGTGTCATTATATTTTGATTTGATTTGATTTGATTTGTCTGTACATCCTTGCAATTCCCAGTTCTCATTAGTTCTGCAAAGGTGTCTCTCAGCGAGTTGTGCCGCAGTGACACATATCCACCAAGTTTTCAGATGAGCGCATGGTTTGCTGAGTATTTCTGGCCACACGTACATGTCTTAGGGCAGTCCTTTAAGTTCAGGTTGTATCTGAGACTCTCAGATGCAATAGCTCTCAGACTCTGAGAGCTATTGCATCTGATAACTGTTGTTTATTCATCAGATATCCATACTCTTTTAGAGGTAGTGCTGTTAACCAAGCACTTGCCCCTTTCTCAGCAGCTAGTTGGAACATCAACTTTGCCAGTGGTGTTGACTCAAGCTCCTGGCGTATTTCTGCTTGTTTTTGTCGATAGAAGAGATTTCGTTCAGTCGTTATCTCAGTTTTCACTCCTTTACTGTGTCTCCAGTCCTCTGTGTAGTTGTCTATCTGCTTGAGAATAGCTTCTTTAAGGGGTTTTGTGGCTCTGCATGAGAAATTGTGCTCTCGGTCTGCCATTTCCATCATAACTGGTATTCCCAATCCTCCATATCTTGGTGGTAGATCCATTATGTTCCTTAGTTCATTAGTGCAGCTAAACAGCCTGTTAATGATAGCTGGGATAAACTCATCACGTGTTACTTGTTCTAGAGGAGTGAGCCTATCTGCAACTCCTGGGGTAGTTCTGCACACATAGTTCCATCTTTTACTAAGCCCATACATGTATGCACTGTATGCTATTTGAGGTTCTCTTGAGCTATATCACTTAATTGTTTAAGATCACGACACCATTCTTGAACTTCTTCCTCGATGAAAGCCTCTTTTCCTTGATCCGTTCCGATGAAGCTGCCTAGATATCGTCGACCAATGCTTGTCACATTAACATCTGGGAATAAGTTTCTTGCCTTCTCTTCGTGCTCAGGCTTGACTATCACCCAAATTTTAGAAGATTTAGGGTTGTATCCAAAGAGTGGTCCTTTAAGAGGACATATAATACAAAAAGCTTTTATGTCCTGAACATGCTGTTAACTTCATATTAAGAAAGTATACATCAAAATAATAAGATTTGATACATTAAAAATTATTTTTCAGGACTCGCACTTTCGAAACAATAAATACTTTCTTTTTCGAAAGTTTTGAAAATTTTGAGAAGTCTGTCACTGTTATACCAATATTTCAGTCGTTTTTAACTTTTTTTGGCTGATTTTTTAACTGAACATTATTTACATTCCGTACAAGAAGCCCTTTAAAGGATTTTATAATTAAAATATAGATGACAAAATTACAAACCAAACAAGGTCGAGAGAAGCAAAATTGAAATTTTTGTAAAAATCAAAGTTGTATATTTTACCATTCACCCAGGTCATAAGATATCGCTTTACAAATTCTTGTGAGTGTAGCTGATGATCATATCCAACTTTTTGGAACAGGGTTTCTCTCAGTTTTGAGTTTTAAGGTATGAAATGTGGCCTAAACGACTTAGTAAAATTCATCGTAAAAAAGGGCCAAACATGGCAGATTTTAGGCTTAAAATGCCTATAACTCAAAAAGTATCAGTTTTTTTGAAATAATTTTTACAGGATCGTAATCAGCTTGGTAAGACGAATCTTTTAGTACCAAATAGGTGATTTTAAAAGACAAATTGTCTTAAATAATTTTCCAGCTCGAATAATAGTTAAAGACACAAAATTTGTAAAAAAATGTGTACAATTTGTACAAAATTTATACAAGGGGGGACCCTTGTGTTCGAGCTGGAAAATTATTTAAGACAATTTGTCTTTTAAAATCACCTATTTGGTACTAAAAGATTCGTCTTACCAAGCTGATTACGATCCTGTAAAAATTATTTCAAAAAAACTGATACTTTTTGAGTTATAGGCATTTTAAGCCTAAAATCTGCCATGTTTGGCCCTTTTTTACGATGAATTTTACTAAGTCGTTTAGGCCACATTTCATACCTTAAAACTCAAAACTGAGAGAAACCCTGTTCCAAAAAGTTGGATATGATCATCAGCTACACTCACAAGAATTTGTAAAGCGATATCTTATGACCTGGGTGAATGGTAAAATATACAACTTTGATTTTTACAAAAATTTCAATTTTGCTTCTCTCGACCTTGTTTGGTTTGTAATTTTGTCATCTATATTTTAATTATAAAATCCTTTGAAGGGCTTCTTGTACGGATTGTAAATAATGTTCAGTTAAAAAATCAGCCAAAAAATGTTAAAAACGACTGAAATATCGGTATAACAGTGACAGACTTCTCAAAATTTTCAAAACTTTCGAAAAAGAAAATATTTATTTTTTCGAAAGTGCGGGTCCTGAAAAATAATTTTTAATGTATCAAATCTTATTGTTTTGATGTATACTTTCTTAATATTAAGTTAACAGCATGTTCAGGACATAAAAGCTTTTTGTATATGTCCCCTTAATGCAGAGGTTATCCCACCACTTCCTCATTTCTTCAAGTTTTCCCCCAGCAGCAGAGTCGTCAGCATACCAGATCTGAGTCACCTTTTCTCAATGTTTCCTGCATCAATCAATGGTATTGTACCACAGGCATAAAATCCCATGGCCGGTGGGTCACCTTGTGTGGTCCCTTCTTCACTAAAAAGATGCTTATCTCCTCCTGCAATGAACAGTCTAGAACGCATTCTGTTATATTATGGTAAAAAATATTGAACATAAAATGCAGTGTTTTTACAGTGTAATTATACAGTGTATTATGTTTATTTTTAATTAAATATGTAGTGTAACAGACAATAGAGTAAAAGCTTTTAAAATGTATTAGTATATAATAATACTTATAGTGAATACATTTACTTGTCTGTTATCACACGGTCCACGATTTTTGATGATAGGCGATGACAATCATCTTATCTGTAAAAATCAGCTTTTTATCATCGTCTCTACTTCTGTTAATAATATTGTCAATTGAGTTTATAAGCCTATTCTTTATTCAGCATGAGGAACTGATATTATGAACTAAATCAAATCATGGCATATTCATTCTACCTGTTGCACTTGCTTCTAGTCCCAAATACAATCCTTGCTACTGCTGGATTTAAGCCAAACATTGTATTGATCATTGCTGATGACTTGGGATGGGGTGACATAGGATTTTCCAAAAAGCATGGAACAACGTTGGCTACTCCCGAAACTCCAAATTTAGACATTCTTGCTGAAAAGAGTGTTATTCTTGACAATTTATATGTACAAAATTTGTGCACCCCAACAAGATCGTCCCTCCTTACTGGCAGGTATCCACACAGCCTGGGATGGCTTTTCTCAGCTTCTGTTATTATCGGTGTCAATGAATATTTAAAACCTGAACACAGGACTTTCACTGAGGTTTGTAGTTTTGATGTATTATTATATTCAACCTAGGGTTGTAAAACAATTCAATTTGTCTTTTGTTATTACCTAGAATTTTGTATGCTCTATAGCAACTAGCCCTAGCACCTCTGGAATGTAGGGGCCCCTCAAAACCTGGGTTTTCTTAAAGGGAAGACTATTCTCATCAAAGTAATTGCTGCAACAGTTTTTGTTGCAAATTGTAAATTGTCAATCGACTTGGTTTACAGTCCCCTCAAAATTTCCTACTTTAATGCTTGCTGTAATGAGGCCATGGACAAAAAAATTTTCTGGCACATCTTTTATCTATAATCCTGTTTTATTGAATATATATTAACTGTCTGTTGAGCTTTAAATTTAGTCGAATAATAACATTCTCATTATTAGATTTTAGCAGAAGAGTTTGATTACAGTGTTCGTGGAGCTGGAAAATGGCATCTGGGATTTAAATCTCCTCATCTTCCCTTAAACAGAGGCTTCGAATCATTTTATGGATGCTACAGTGGAGGAATTGATCACCATTCTCATGAGTAATTTACGAATTATATTATACTAGAAAGCCCGTAATGTAATAAGACAAAAATGACTTTTCAACAATAATTGCACGTGCAGTGTGTCAGTGGCGTAACGTTGCCTGTTGGCGCCCCCCCCGCCGAAAAGGCGTCCCCCTGTTGGCGCCCCCTCCCCTTTTGGTGCCCCTCCCTAAATTTGAACAAATAAGGTGATTTTAGAGGATACGCCGGTAAAATCTCTAAAAAAGTGTGTATCTAGAGCAAAACGCGCAGTTTTGCTAGTACTTTAGTTTTAAAGTTTTCGAAATTGTCCCACATTCAAACGACGATTTGGCGCCCCCCTAAGACGGCGCCCCCCTGCACAGCGGGGTCAGCGGGGCCCTTCATTACACCACTGCAGTGTGTACATGCTCGTTTCCATTTGTGTCGCTATAATGCAACCTTTTGATTTTCACCCAAATTGCACGTGGGCGGTCATACATACAGAAATAATCTTTCATTTTATAAAACTGATATTGATAGGGCAAGTGAATATTGGTTTTGCATTCCATGATGTTAAATCCTCTGGACAGTATCTTGAATAGCTAACTGCCCCAAAGACCATAAGTCTGTACATTTTTATGGGACTAAACCACACTCAGAACCATATTTAATACTTCATTATAACAAGCAGGCATGTCTTAAAAAGATTATGCCTGGAAGTTTAAAATAAACACATTTGCAACCCTGTCTCCGCTTAACTTGTCCTGTAAAATTCCTACTAGATGTACTATTGACAGGGGTTGGATATTGGATGAGAGAGAAAGAATGGTAACAGTGAAAGACTTTCATTCTGATAATTTATTCACGAACTCATCCATAGACATAACCTCAGAGGTTGAAGGCAAACACTCAACTGAACTCTTTACACAGGTTTTTGTTTTATAATGTATTGAAAAGTTATCAAGTTGTTCAGTTACATATCAATTAACCAATCTACAAAGGTTTTATTCAATTATAATTATATGACAGAAATTGTAATGATGGAACCTATAAAATTATGTAACATGTCATAGCAATGAAATATAAAGATAAATCATAGGAAGCAGTGAAGATCATTGAAAGTCATGATGATAAGAAACCTATGCTTCTATATTTGTCCTATACTGCCCCTCATTCCCCTCTTGAGCCTGATGATGAAATTGGCAAGTTCATAAGAAATCATTTTAAGGAGCAGGTGTGATTTTCTTAAATTAAACTTACTTTCATTTTGTTAATAACAGTCGTTTCAAATGTTCACTTTTCAAGGAATTTTCACTTTTCAGTTAAAAACAGGAATGAACATATAGTTGACAAAGGAAAACGGCAGTATGCTGCAATGGTAACTCAAATAGACAATGGAGTAGGAGAAATTGCTGATGCTTTATCAAGAAAGAAAATGTGGGATAACACTGTGTTCTTATTCATGAGGTGAGTGTGTGGTTGATTCAGATTTTAATTCTTGTTTGTTCTAATTATGTTACTTACAGTCATTCTCCAGTTACCTAATTGTGTTAATGGATATACAAAAAAGGTGCAGTCATTCAGTCAAATCCTGATCTATCAGCTCAAATCTATAACACTGAACCCGATGAACTGGTTTCTTTTCAATTCCTCCAATTGTATTGCATTCCTCCAATTGTATTGCATTAGAATCCAATTACACTTATTATTGCCCTCCCATCAAAAGCTTGATTTTGAGCTGAAGATGCCATACATAGTGTATACTACATAGCATCTATCATCAATATGTACCACCAGTCATTCCTCCCAGTGATCACGGTGCTGCAGTTATGCCAAACAACTGTTGGGACACTATTGGTGGGAGTAACCTACCTTACAGGGACGGAAAAGGTTAGCTAAACGATTCATCCAACTTTCACCAAATGTATCTTAAGTTTTGAATTTGTTCATGCCTAATGTTGAACATTTTTGCCATTATTTATACATTTCCACCCCAGGTTCATATTTCGAGGGAGGGATAAAAAGTGCTGCTTTTATCTGGACACCATGGTTAACTGATGAACAAAGAGGAAAGCGAAGTCCTGCTCTGTTACACGCAGTTGATGTTCATTCTCTGATGCTGGCTGCTGCAGACGATAAGCTGTCAGGTTTAAACAGTCTATTAATACTGGTTAGAAAAGACTGAAAGATGATTCTAGTTAACAAAATTGATTAATTACCTAAGTTTCTAGTTACAAATATGATAATATTGATCTAACAGTTTGTTCGATCAGGGAGTTTGTCCAGTAGATTTAGAAACTCTAGTCAGACTACAAGTCCAGAACTTGACTCTGGAAACTTCTTGATTGATGTTCTTAACGATAACCATGCTGGGAGGTGAGTTAAATTACTGTTTATGGCAATTCAGTAATGTGGCAAAGCACGGTTAAAGCACAGTTAAGGCCCTGTTTATTTCAAAACTGTTTACAATTTCAGCTTTGTCAGTTAACACTCACACAGTTTATTAACATACAAATCTATGGACAACAATGGACATAATGTATTTTATTGATATGAATTTTAAAATTTGCAGAGAATTTTAACAAGCTAGAAATATGAAGTAGGTTTTGACATAGAAGCTCGAATCAAATCAAATATCTTTCGTCATTGAAAATATTTCAGGGAGACCATTCTGCACAATCTTGTAACTGGTCCTCTTCCTGAAGGTAGAACTGGACACTACTGCAGCCAAAAATTCGGAAAACCATCAAATTATGCTGTCCTTAGACACAAAAAGTTCAAGCTATTTTATGGCAATGGGCTTGAAAACTTCTGCCAAGCAGATTATTTGCAGAGAAGCTGTTCTGACATACTTGACAAGCCCTCAGGTTTGTTACCTACTTTTATCCTGTCTTCTTAGTAAAATAATTGTTGTACCCATACATACATGTTACATGGCGAGATCTCCATCCAAAAGGATTAGTCTGCGTCGACTGCGTCATTACTTTGTATTATACAACTTCGGCGGGTAACATTTCTCCATCCCTTTCGGTCTGCAGCTAATCTTCTCATACAATCAATCGTGAGTCCATTCCGATCCAATCTCTGCTCAGCATCCTCAATAAATACATCATTTAGGCTCTTCCTAGGCCTGCCTCTTGACCTCTTCCCATGCTTGGGTTTCCATTCAAGTAAATAGTTGGGTAACCGATCTTCAGGCATTCTACTGACATGTCCAAACCAACGCAGCCGTTTTGTTGTTATTATGTCAGCAAGAGCAGTTATTGATGCCCTTCTTAAAACATCCTCATTACTTACTCGATGGAACCACCTCACTCTCAGGATTCTTCTTAAGCAGTACTGATGGAAAGACTCCAATCTTCTTGTCTGCACTTGAGTCGTGTTCCATATCTCACATCCATAGGTCAGAATGGTAAGAACAGCTGCGATGTAGATTCGCACTTTGTTGTTAATGCTTATGTTCTTATTCTTCCAAATGTTGTTGAGTTGGTTAAAAGCTCCAGTTGCTTTTCCAATCCTGACACTTATTTCTTTATCAATCTTGCCATCTGATGTAATTTTGGCACCCAAATAAGTGAATTGAGTGACCTGCTTTGCAGAGTTTCCATCGACAGTTATATCTATGGTCCTATTCTCTGGCATGGGAGTGGGTGCTGCGATGTATCTTTCCCAATGACCATGATCTCTGTTTTCTTTGCGTTCATCTTTAAACCCCCGAGCCCACAGTATTTCGCAATATTGTCCGTAGTTTCTTGCAGTCCTTCAACAGTGTCATCCATTCCTGCGATGTCATCAGCATAGTCCAGATCAATGACACATTTTTCCGGTTGTCTGGAACTTTGTCTGTACTGAAGAGTAAAACCACGGGATATATTTTTAAACTTCTCTGCAAGTTCTAATCCCCAGTTAAGTACAAGATTAAAAATGGGGGGCCCTTGCACATCACCTTGTCCAGTCCCCGAATCGACATCAAACCATCTTGTCAATTCTCCATTGACACGAACTGCACTTTCAGTTGCTCTAAAGAACGCTTTGAAAACATTGATATATTTTGTCGGAAGACCATAATGTTCAAAAGCTTTCCAAATAAAGTCACGATTGATTGAATCAAAAGCAGCTTTAAAATCAATAAAGTTTATGTACAAAGGGACGTTGAATTCTATACAATTGTGTATTATACAATGAAGTGAGTACAGCTGATCTATACAAGAACGGTTTCTCCTGAAACCACACTGATTCTCTCTGAGTAATTTTTCAAGCCCATTACTCAGTCTTTTTAACAACACAATTTGGAATAACTTTGATACAGTTGAGCGTAACGTTATACCTCTGTTATTGTTGCAATATGTGAGGTCCCCTTTCTTTGGGATGATGGTGATTATTCCTTTTCTCCAATCATTAGGAATATCCTCACTTTTCCACACAGTTTCAAAAAGATCCTTTAACCAAGGCAGAAGTCCAGAAGAACCGTACTTTAACTGCTCATTTGAAATTTCATCAATTCCAGCACTCTTGTAGTTCTTCAACTTCTTGATAGCTTCCTCAATTTCAAACAAGGACGGTGGCTCATCATCATTACTAAGGTATTCAAAAAAAAGTAACTTTTCATCCTGATCCAATATAGAGAAATCCACCGCATTTGCTGCTGGCGTCAAGAGTTCTTCAAAATATTCGGCCCAGCGATGTGACTGAGCTTCGGGATCTGATATAAGTGTCCCATTCTTATCCCGCACTGCCGCAGATCTGTTTACTCTCTTGTTTGTTAAGGATTTTATTTTCTGCCAAACATCTCTTTGTTGACCCTGCTTGGCAGCATCTTCTAATTCCTCAGCTACTCTAACAGCCCAAGCATTATCATCTCTTTTACAGTTCTGCCTAACAAGGCCGTTAATCCGCGAGTACTTAGCACGGTTCTCAGCAGTACTGGGTTTCTTTTTAATCTCCCCTCGTTCTTTTAGGAGATTCTTAGTATCCCTTGAGAGATGTTCTGTTCTCTTTTTCCGGCCCCTTTCACCCAGCACTTCAAATGAAACATCAGTTATTATATCTCTCAATTTCTTCCACTGTTCTTCTAAAGGAGAGTTTCCATGCTCCTGATCGTTGTTATAGTACTCTTCAGCTATTCTGTTACTATATTCCTGGCTCTTAGATCTATCACGCAGGTGCTCTAAAGCAGGCTGTCTTACACGCTTCTTTCTTTTCTGAGGACACTTAAGTTTAATAGATACATATCCTCTTACCAGATAGTGAGTAGTATTTATATCTGCTCCTCTCATGCTCCTGACATCAAGCAAAGAATGGCTCCATCTCGTCGAAATACACATATGGTCAATTTGAGTGACGGTGTTACCATTTGGGGATCTCCATGTTGTCTTGTGGATATCTTTGTGTTCAAAGAGTGTGCCTCCGATCGTCAGCTGGTGCATAGTACAGAAATCTAGCATCCGTTTTCCGTTATCATTTGATTCTGTGTGATATGAGTGTTTTCCTATAACACCAGGGTGAGCATCAGTATCCCTTCCAACACGAGCATTAAAATCTCCTAAAACTATTTTTATATCATGTGCAGGTAGTCCCGATTGAACATCATTCAATTCCTTGTAGAATGAGTCTTTTAAACTGATCTCTGCATCCTCAGTTGGAGCATACACAACTGTAACACTAATGTTGATGTGTTTGCTATGTAAACGGGCAGTCATAACCCGTCCTGATACAGGGGTGTATGATATGAGAGTATTCTTCATCTTTTTGGAAAGAACAACACCAACTCCTTCTCTCCGTACTCCATCGCTCCTGCCAGAATAAACCAAAACAGCCCCATTGTCCAAAGTCTGAGTTCCTGATCCAGCCATATGTGTTTCAGTTACCCCAAGGAGCTCTAGTCCATAATCATCAAAACCTTTTCCTAATTGATACATCTTACTGGAATTACTGACAAGAGAAGTAACATTCCATGTACTGATACAGAGAGGATTCTTTACAATATTTACAGGATTAGACATACTTGACTGTCTGTTTACAAATGACAAATCTGATGAAGGAATTCTGTATTTACAGTGTTTACGTCGGCTCTTACGGGAGTTGCAAACAGACATCAAGCTACTAGGGTCCTTTCGGCTTTGCCTAGTCGCCGTCATCACTCCACCTGCGCCTCCACGTATAATACTATTGAATGACACTGTAGACGTTTCTGTAGCGGTTTGATTTAAGGTGGATGGTTTGCCGGACCTTCGCACCCGATCCAGAGGCAGCACCGACATCAAGAAGTAAGCGCTCCGTCCAGACACCAGCAAGCTGGTGGTTAGGTTCGATACGTAAAGTTAAAGCATGTAGAGCTTCTGAAGCCCATAGGGAATCAAAATTAAACCGTAAGTGATCATGTCAGAGACAAGATCACCAAGCAAATGCTCGATTACACAGGGCAACCAAGACTTGGACAAAATGGTGAACCGTGAGTGACACACAGATGACCCTGCCACAAGACAGCATCACCGAGCACCACCCAGCAATCGCATCCTCTCGCCGCCACAGCAACCGACCCCCCAGTGATATAGCACTGACAGGCAATTAACGGTTTTGTGGTGTTACCACTCCCAGGTGATCTGTGCTAACAGACTCGGACCAGATGCAATGGGGAGCAATTAGACAATAAGTCAACAACATTGTAGACAGTGACGCACTAGCCCTGTTAACGGGTTGGTTTAATTTTACAGAATATCATATTTCATCAAAGTTATAGATCAGTCATTTTTTTGGTATCAGTCAAATGTTACGAATCATCACTTTATCAGATCATTTTTTTTTTCAGGTCACAGAGAAGCCCTTATTTTATTCGACATAGAGTCTGACCCGTACGAAACAACAAATGTAGCTGGCAGTAACCCTGACATTGTGAATCACATGATAGGTCTCATAGAGGATTACAAGAAGGGTGCTCTCAATTCCTGGATGTAATGCCCATTTCGGATGTTGAGCTTTTTAAGTTCCAAATGCAGTAAAACACCGATTCACCGCAGAGTTTGGGGAAAAGAAACAGCTGCAGTTAATCAGGTTTTGCGGTAATCAGGCGTGGTATATAATCGGGATTTTACTGTAAAACGCTCTAGAAGGTCTGTTGAAGAAAATGGTGGAAATGTGAAGATGGTCACAACTCACAAATATTTTGCCATTCTCGCCATTTTCACAAACGATGGCTGGGTTGCGATATACCTACTTTCAGTTTGATTGTAGCATCTGATTAACTGTTTTAAAATTGAGAAAATTTGGTTTTAATGGTTTTAATATTTTCGTTTTATCAAGTTTCTTTGTGAAAGCTATTTTATAATAATTTATATACATTTAGTACAGTCAAATACGTCTTTTTGTCGGACAAAATTCGCAACAAAGCGATTTTAACGGGATATGTTCGGGACAGGTCCCAGGAATCATTCCAGAGAGTTCCCAAAAAAAAAGACTTCAGGAAAATCCACAATTACCACTTTTCTACCACCTTTTTACCACTTTGGTTTTCCGCAAATAAGTCACGTTCTGAATATCCTAGAAGATTCTAGTTAAAAGCAGTGTGTTTAGAAAACAAAGAAGAACAACTTTTTCTTTAACAACTTTTTCAAAAATAAATTATTTAATTAATTAATTAAATAATTAAAAAAATTTAAAATATTTCAAAAATATATTTTGATAAAAATGTTCACAATTACATTCCACGTATAATGAACTAATTTTTATAAAATTTTCGAAAATTTTCACTTTCAATATTTTGGACTTGTAAAATTTTCGAAATTTGTAAAGAATAACCACTATTTACCACTTTTTACCACATTGAATCTCCGCTAATAAAACGACTTCTGAATGTCGTAGAAGGTTCTAG